GGACCCTCAAGAGTCCCACTTGCATTCACTGCTGACTACCGTTTTGGCATCTAGCCTGGGATCTATAACTGTTCCTGTCAGGGATCCTCCGTTGACCTCAGGCCTCTGGTTGTCACAGTGTGTCAGTGGCCCCCACTCCCCAGCTGTCACTTCACTTCCTGCCTGAAAGGGTCTTCTTTGTCCAACCCACAGAATGAACAAGGTGGTACCCAAGAACCTGGTAACACATGGGCCATATGGTAGTTCTGCTTTTCACTTTTTTGTTTGTTTGGTTTGGTTTGGTTTTCGAGACAGGGTTTTTGTGTAGCTTTGCACCTTCCTGGAACTCCCTTTGTAGACCAGGCTGGCCTCGAACTCACAGAGATTCACCTGCCTCTGCCTCCCGAGTGCTGGGATTAAAGGTGTGTGCCATATGGATTTCTAAAGCGGATGCACCAACATACATTCTTACCAGCTGTGTCTAAATTCTCTTTTTCTAAGTATACAAGTATACTTATATACTTGTATATAACTACATATGCTGAGTATCCAAGTATAAGTTAGTGAGGATATACTTCTAATGGTTGTCACCCTCTGTTTCCTTTTTGGAAAAAAAAGATTTATTTTTAATTATGTGTATGTGTGGATATGTGTGATTGCATGTGTACACATGAGTGCAAGTGCCCACAGAGACCACATGCATCGGAGCTGGAGTTACACAGGTGGTTGTGAACCACCTCCTGTGGGTGCTGGGATTAAATTCAATTAAACTCGGGTCCTCTGGGAGAGCAGTAGACGCTCTTCACCACGGCGCCATCTCTCTGTCCCCTTGTTTGTTTTCTTGATGACAACCAGTCTGACTAGGGTGAGATGGAATCTCAGAAGAGTTTTTATTTGCATTTCCTTGGTAGATAAGAATGTTGCACACTTTTTAAACTAGTCGTTGGCCGTTTGTATTTCTTCTTTGGAGACTGATCCTTAGTTCATTTGTTGATTGAATGATTTTTTTAATATTAAATTATTAATATTAGTTCTTAACATGTTTTAGATATTGATCATCTGGATGATGAATAGTTGGCAAAGTTTCTTCCCATTCTGTCTCTTCGCCTTGCTGATCATTTCCTTTTCCGTGCAAAAGTATTTTAGCCTCAAGGACCGAATAACTGTCGGGTTCTCAGCTCTCAATTATGATTCTGCTCTTGTTACTACTTTAAAGCTGATTTAATACATTCTTGCACGCCCATGCACACACACAGTCTCATTCCCCTTTCTCTGTCCCTCTAGAGAACCCCGACTAATACATTTTTGTTGAACTCACTATCTTTTCTCCCAATAAAGCTTTTGATAACTTTGTCTAAAGTTATGTGACGGGGCTAGAGAGACGGCTCACTGGCTAAGAGCACTGGCTGCTCTTCCAGAGGACTGGCAAACTCTTCAGTCATTGTAGGTTCCCACTGTAGAGGTTGTTCATGTCTTTGTTTGGATGTATTCCTAGATATTTGATTTCACTTGATGCTATTGTGAATGGGATACCCCTGACCCCCAATTTCTTTCTCAGTACGTTCATTATTGGTATTTAGAAAGGCTACTGGTTTCTTCTGTATTTTAATCTTGAGTCCTTCTCCTTGGCTCTGGTGAAGGAGTCCATTCAGATGTGCTGTTTTTCCATACTGGGATTGAACCCAGGATCTTATACGTACTAACACCTTGTATTAGTTTTTCTGTTCCTGTGATAAAACATCATGACCAAGGACACTTGCAGAAGACAGACTTTATTTGGGATTATGGTTCCAAAGGGATAAGAGTCCGTCCTGTACAGGGGTGAAAGAGGAGGGGACTGGGGGGTGGGGGAGGGGAAGGGCTGAGAGGAGAGGATGAAGGGGAGACCGTGGCCAGAATGGGGAAAAAAAAAATAGATGAATTTAAAAAAAAAAAAAGAGTCCATCATGACGGTGAAGTATGGCAGTGAAGGGCAGACCTGGCGGCCAGAGCAGGAAGCAGAAAGCTTCTGTCGCTAACCACAAGAGCGAATCGGAGAAAGCCAGCTGGAAGTGAGAGAGGGTCTTTACTCTCAAAACCTGCCCCCAGTGACGGACCTCCCCCGAGCCAGGCAGCACCAGCTAACCCTCCACACAGTGTCACCAACTGGGGACCAAGTGTTCAAACGCCTGAGACTGCGGGGCCGTTTCTCATTCAAACCACCACACACCCTGTGGCTGAGCTGTACCCCCAAGTATTTTTGGCTGTTTTGCAGAGGGATTGCTGTTGTTTTGTTTTAAAATACGGGCTCAAAAGGGGATCTGTTGCTCTCTCCAGTACCTACCTCCATCTCCTGCAGTGCCAACTCACATGCCGCTCCCAGCCCCACCACCAAGGACGTGGGCACTGTCCCTGACCGCATTCCCCGCTCCTGCCCGCCTCCACTCTGTAGGGCCCCCACTCGCACCCGGGTCCTGCGGCGGATATAGATAGCACCGACCCCTTGGGGGAAAAGGTTGTTAGAAAAAAAGAGAAACACAGATGAAACAAAGTATTACTTTCTAAAGAAATCAAAATATTATTGCAAATTTTATAGTTAACTTTTTCTAAATAAAAAAATTAAAAGAAAAAGAAAAAAAAATATGGGCTCAAAAGATCAAGGCTGGCCTTGAACTCACTCTGCTGTCTAAACAAGCCCAGAGCCCGTGATCCTCCTGCCTCAGCTTCCCCAGTTGCCAGATTACAAGTCTGTGTCAGTCACTGGATTTTTTTAAGTATACAGTCATATTATCTGCAAATAGGAATTCTTTCACTTCTTCCTATTTTTATCCTTTTTATTTCTCTCGGCTTAATGCCCTAGCTAAGACTTTTACCATTGTTTCTTTGATTTATATTTGATACGTGGACTAGAATGTGTCTTAGGAAGTCCTCTGATCACATCTATTTGAGGTTCCAAATGCCTGTTAGATTTTTGATATCCGTGTCCCTCCCTGCCTTAGATTTGGGAGATTTTTTTTTTTGCTATAATTTTATATTTTATTGAGTAGTTTTTGTATGCCTTAACTTAATCTCAGTTCTCATCTCTTGATCTTATCCCAGAATTCTTGGATGCGGTGGTCATGCATTTTTTTTCTTATTTGATGTTTACATATATTATGTCCTCAACTTTGTCCTCCATTCCTGATATTCTTCTGTTTGGTCAAGTCTATTGATGGCAGGTTTTGTTATATTGTTTTGTATTTGATTCATTGATTTTATTTCCAACATTTCTATTTTTCTTTTTTCAAAACTCTTCATTTCCCTAATATAATAAATAATTATGGAATGGGTGTTGCAACAAGTCTCGTTGCAACAATGGAATACTCAGATTAACATCCCTCCAATCTCAGAAACAAATGGGGGATGAGACTGGAATGAGGGGATCAGATGGGGAGGGGGAGGAGAGGAAGGGGAGTGAACGTGAGGGACAGGCAACACTATTTGAGGGATCGTATGGAAACCTAACACAGTAGAGTCTTCCTAAAGTACACACATATATGTAGGTGATCTAAATGGAATTGCCAAATAACAGTGGAAACAGAGACCCAGCTGGACATCCTCATCACCAAATGAAGACTCCAGCTCCAGAAATGGGGTACATCTAATCAAGTTGTTGTTCTGTGGGAACCCCCAAACAACCCAGGCTATTGCCAAGACTATTGGTTGCTCCCCACAAACTGATGGTAAGGCCCCATTACTGAAGACAACAGCCACACAACTCACTGAACCTGGAGAAGCTGAGCTGGTGTCTACACAGAGCCTTCACCCCTGCTGACTGCTCTTGGTGGTACTGGAAGGTTCTCTGCACACTACCGAAGGAGAAGGAGAAACATCAACTCAGCCATAAACCCTTTGATCTACAACCATGACGTGTGTGAGTCAACAACCAGTATCTGACTGGATTTAAGGCCCTCTCCACAAGGTGGAGCCTGTTGTGTCATATTTTGTTTGTGTTCTGACAAATAAAGCTTGCTTGGAGTCAGAGAGCAGGGCCAGCCACTAGTTAACCATAGAGGTCTGGAGGTCTGTCCAGAGAGGAGACAGGAAGTGATAAGGAGGGGCAGAGAGAGGATCGAGGACTTTTTAGACAGAGGAACAGAATAGGTAGGAAGCCACTGGTGGCTGCTCCCCTGATTCTCTGATCTTTCATGTTTTCACCCCGATATCTGACTCCTGGTTTTTGGTGATAAGATTAATTAGATTTACACATCTGGAGCTCGTGCCGGACACTGCTTGGATAGCCAAACAGTAGTTCCACTAGAGGAATGTAGCACTAAAATGATTCCTAGTGACCTTCTGCTATACTCATAGATCAGTGCCTTGCTCCATCATCAGAGATGCTTCCTCCTGGAGTGGATCAGAGATCCACAGCTGGACAATGTGCAGAGAGTGGGAGGTCTTGGATCACTTGGTCCTAGATGGGAGGTCTTCATCAAATCCCTCCTCTCAGGGCTCAGGGAACCCTGTGGAAGAGGAGGTGGAAAGATTGTAAGAACCAGAGGGGATGGAGGACACCAAGGAAACAAGGCCTTCTAAACACAGAATGACTGAAGCACATAGGAACTCCCAGAGACTGCAGCAGCATGCACAGGGCCTGCACAGGTACAAGCCAGATGGGGGTCCACTCAGAGTGGAAGTGGACACAAGTCCCCACCCCTAACCCAGAAGCTATCTCTGATTGAGAACAGCTCACAAATGAAAAAGCAGTTTTCTCCAGCGGAGTCTCACTGGGTATACAAACCACTCCTAAGGGCAAGACCCATGCCCAGCAGTAACTGGCTAACATGAAGTTAATTCAGTGGCATTTTTTTGAAGGTACTTTGTCTCAAAATACTTTGTCTGGTTTTTTTGTTGTTGTTGTTGTTTTGTTTTGTTTTGTTTTTTTTTTTGGCTTTTCAAGACAGGATTTCTCTGTGTAGCCCTGGCTGTCCCAGAATTCACTTGTAGACCAGGCTGGCCTCGAACTCAAAGATCCACCTACCTCTGCCTCCCAGGTGCTGGGATTAAAAGCATTAAAAGCACAAACCACCATGGCCAGCTGAGCTGGGTTTTTTGCATATATATCATGGTTTCCAGTTTTGTGTTTTTATGGGATTTTTGTGTGTGCAAACGTGTCCATATGTCTTTCTTGTGATTTTTTTCACTCTTTTTCTTCTATTTGTTAGTTTTATCTTATTTGGTTTGTTTTTATCTTTTATTATGATTATTTTAGATGCCTCTTTATGTTCTAATGAGGGAGAGAGAGAAAGGTATGGAAAGAAAAATATGGGTAGGGAAAAAGGAGGCTCTGGGAGGAATTGAAGAAGGTGAAAACTCTAATCAGAATCTATTATATGAAAAAATCCACTTTCAATCTTTAAAAAAAATCTTCATTTCCTTGCTGAACTTAGCCATATTTTTGTTCGTATCACTGATCTTCTCACCCGTTTTCCTGACTTTCTTTCATGTGCTGTCTTTCCTCGATAGGAGCTTGCTTGAACTCATTTGCTTATTTCAATCTTCTCTGAAGTCATTGACCATCGTTACTAGTGAACTTTTCAAGTCTTCATCCATCACCTCGCCTTGGAGTTCAGCAGCTGAGGCGTCAGTCTTTTCAGAGGAGTCACGTTGCCTTGCTTTTTCAAAGTTCTCATGTTTCTGTGAGGCAAGCCGTACCTCCGTTAGTTTGCAAATCTCTTGCTTTATTTTGGAATCTTCTTATTGAGCAACCTCTGCTCTTGAGGCCCTAATCCCCAGCACCACCCAGTGAGGAAACAGCAAGTCTTAGGACAGCAACGCCATGAAACCACAGATGATGCATCTATAGAAATGCACTCTACGGGACTGATGACTTTCATCAGTCACGTGTCTATTGCTGTGACAAAGCACGGTCAAGAAAACTTAGAAAAGGAAGCATTTAACTGGGCTTACGCTCCCAGAGGTGTAAGAGGTCCATGATGGCAGAGCACGGCATGGAGGCAGGAGCAGCTGAGAGCTCACACCATAAGCAGGAGAGAGAGATACCCACTAGAAACCGCTTGAATCTTTTGATGCCTCAAAGACCACGCCCAGTGGCACATCTCCTCCAAACAATTCCAGCAACTCAGCCCCAAGACTTCACCACAGGAGCCTAGGGGGCCATCTTCATTTAAACTCCCACACCTGTTTATTCATCGCCAATGGTCACGCTAGTGTAGAACGCACCGTGAGGTTAAGATTACTTAGGGTAAATGTGGGAATAAATAAACGAAGGGGGCAGGAAAAGGGAAAATAGAGGGGAAAGGTAAAGAAGAGTGGGGCCCAGACACAGCGCTCAGTCATTAAGAGCGCTTGTTGCTTCCAGAGGACCCAAGTTCAGTGCCCAGCACTCACACGGTGGGTCACATCCATCTGCAACTCCTGTTCCAGGGGATCTGACACCATCTTCTGAACCCCCCGGGCACCAGGTATGCATGAGGTGCACAAGCATACATACATATATACATGCATACATACATACATACATACATACATACATACATACATACGAGCAAAGCACTCATACACTTAATACATAAATAAATTTTTTTTAAAGAGTGGAAAGAATGAGCCGGGCGGTGGTGGCGCACGCCTTTAATCCCAGCACTCGGGAGGCAGAGCCAGGCGGATCTCTGTGAGTTCGAGGCCAGCCTGGGCTACCAAGTGA